CCAACAAAACAAAGAAAACAAAATAAACAGTGACAGAATGGTATATGAAGTCGACACGAGATACAGAAAAGGCCCACTGCAGAAAGGGAAATTAAAAAATTCATTTAAGCCAACCAAAAGTGTGGAGCAAATGGACTCCGACCATTACAAAATCACTAAAGCAAATAGAGTTACTCACTACTACAAAATACAATTCAAAAAACGAATGAAAAAAATCAAATTTTAATACCACAATTGCCTTGATGACATTTTTGAGAATGTAAACAGCCAAAATATTTTGAACATCCACTTGGATCAATTACAATGGTAACCAATTATTAATCATATCCCACGTACCGATTAAGTTTTCATTTATAACTACAATCAAAATAATCTCTTACCCAGATTCTAACGGCTATCATTAAACATTTAAAACCAATTTGTAATTTTGAGTTAGTTCACACAGATCAAATAATAAAATACATAGAACCAAACACAATTATAACCAAAATCAAATTATTATCATTTATTTACTTATTATTTATTTATTTATTATTTATATTATTATATATTATTATTTATTTGACAAAATTTCGGTTACAGCGTTGGTCTTAGTTAGTACAGCGGTCCATTTAATAGACTCAAAAGTAAATAATAACGTAACTATATAACTATATATTATAACGTAATATATATTGTAAATTTCTATAGATCTGGCAAACTACTTTTTTTAAGTTATTTTTCATTTTATTTTTTCCCAATTTTTACCGATATTCCAGAGAAGAAACGGGTATCTGATCTGAGTAAATAATAGGTTGGCAAATATCTCCCTTTTTTGATCTTTATTCAATGCTTTATAAAAAGTGTTACAGTGATCGGATTTAGTTCAAATATGCGCCGTTTTGTTCCATAATCTGTTTCCATCTAGACGGCAACTTCATAATACCTCCCTCGTAGAAGCCCCCCTCCTTATTTGCGAAGAACTCGGACAGCCACTTTTCACAAGCCTCTTTTGAGTTCAACTTTACACCACCAAGGGCATTCGCCATGGACAGGAACAGGTGGTAATCACTTGGCGCTATGTCCGGGCTATATGGTGCATGCGATAAAACCTCCCATCCGAGCTCCAGTAGCTTCTGACGAGTCATCAACGAAGTGTGTGGTCTGGCGTTGTCCTGGTGGAACACTACACCCTTCCTGTTGGCCAATTCTGGACGCTTCTGGTCGATCGCCTGCTTCAAGCGGTCGAGTTGTTCGCAGTAGATGGTAGAATTAAGCGTCTGGCCATATGGGAGCAGCTCATAGTGGATGATTTCCTTCCAATCCCACCAAACACACAGCAAAACCTTCCTGGCCGTCAATCCCGGCTTGGCCACTGTTTGGGACGATTCACCGGCCTTCGACCACGACCGTTTCCGCTTGATATTGTCGTATGTGATCGTCGCCAGTCACCATCCGCTTCAAGAATGGGTCGAGTTCGTTCCGTTTTAGCATGCGGCACCCAAACATCAAGCTTTTTTTTGTATCCAGCCTTCTGCAGATGGTTTAAATTGGTTTGGTGACTAACTCCCATATCCTGGACGATGTCACGAGATGCCACATGCCGGTCTAACTCGATGTATTCCATGATTTGATCGGTATTTGTCGTCACAGGTCTTCCGCCGGCTGGCCTATCCATGGTGTCGTTTTCACCGGCTCTGAATCGTCGAAACCATTCCTCCGCGGTTCGAAGTGATAGAGTACCATCCCCCAAAACACCATTAATCTCACGGAACGTTGAGAATCTGGCGGATTTGCCTTTAACGAAGGAAAACTTTAAAATAGCGCGAATTTCGGCGTTAGTGAACTCCATGCTTACACGTTTATAACTGTTGAAGGCAATATCCAAACTAATCATGCATAGCGTCGTTTTGTAGGTTATGTCAAGACCTTTCAAATTATGTATAGTATTGCCAGATACGAGCTCTGTAGCGCTTTGTACATAGCCGAAAAATTCAAAAAGGCGGAATGGAGATATTTGCCAAACAATATATCCTACTTTCTAAAAATTTGCCTAAAAACGCTAAAAAAAAAAGGTTTTAAAAAGTGTTATATTTGTGTGATATGTGTGATATTTTTTAAATCTTAAATATATATTTTAAATTTATATATATTTGCCAACACACTTTTTGCCACGCCCACTCCAACGCCCACAAATCGCCCAAAACTGTCACGCGCTCACACTTTTGAAAAATGTGATATTTTTTCACTTTTGTATATATATTGTAAATTTCTATAGATTTGCAAAATACTTTTTGCCACTCTAACGCCCACAAACCACACAAAACTGTCAGGCCCACATTTTAAACAAATTTTTAATTTTTTTTTCATTTTATTTTTTTCCCCCATTTCTACCGTTTTTCCGGAATATGTTAAAATTTGTCTGTATTTTATTAGTTTTATATCTTATTTAAATTTTTTTTACAGACAATACACATTTGAGGCAGCAAAGGTGGCTTGTGGAAATGTAGCTGGACTGTTATCTTGGACAATGGCTATGTCTAAGTACTTTGAAGTAAATAAGGAAGTCCTCCCTTTGAAGGCAAATCTTGCTGTGCAAGAGGCTAAATATCAAAAAGCATCAAGTGACCTACAAGAAGCTGAGGAACTACTGCAACAAAAAGAAAACGAATTGGCTGAGGTTCAACAAACCCTGGAAGATGCCGTATCAAAAAAAGACGCCGTATTAGACGAGGCCAAAAAGTGTCAAGACAAAATGGATGCGGCAACCGCTCTTATTGGTGGCTTAGCTGGTGAAAAAATCCGATGGACCGAACAAATAGCTTCATTTAAAAGTGAGACCGAACGATTAGTTGGAGATGTTATACTCCTGACAGCATTTTTATCTTATACGGGACCATTTAATCAAGAATTTCGAAGTGACCTTCAAAGTGTTTGGACTAAACAAATAATAGAAAAAATGATACCCATGTCAGCCAATGTTAATATCATTGAAAGTTTAACAGATCGTTCACAAATTGGTGAGTGGAACATTCAGGGGCTACCAACAGACGAACTGTCAATCCAAAATGGAATAATATCTACAAAAGCAATGAGATTTCCTCTTCTGATAGATCCTCAATCGCAGGGAAAAGTGTGGATTAAAAACAAAGAAAAACAAAACAAAGTGATTGTAACCACACTAAATCACAAGTATTTTAGAAATCATTTGGAAGATTCAGTAAGCATGGGAATTCCGATTATAATCGAAGATGTTGCAGAGGAGTTAGATCCTTGCTTGGACAACCTTTTGGACCGCAACCTTTTAAAAGTTGGTACCCAATATAAAATAAAAATTGGTGATAAGGAAGTGGATTGGAATCCCGCATTCAGGTGCTATATTACAACAAAACTACCCAATCCAGCCTATACACCTGAAATATTTGCACGTACTTCTATAATTGACTTTACAGTGACAATGCGTGGTTTAGAAGACCAATTATTGGGTAGAGTTATTCTTGCGGAAAGAAAAGAACTTGAAGACGAACGGGTTCAATTGGTTGAGACTGTGACTGGTAACATGAAAAAAATGAAAGAACTTGAAGCTAACTTGCTTCATAAGTTGTCCACAACTCAAGGAAGTTTGTTAGACGATGTTACAGTGATTGAAGTTTTAAATACAAGTAAGAATACTGCAATAGAAGTTAAAGAAAAAATTGAAATCGCTAAAATAACGGAAGCAAAAATAAACGCTGCCCGTGAAGAATATCGCGTTGTTGCTACTAGAGGTAGTGTATTATATTTCCTAGTTTGTAGTATGGCAAGAGTTAACAATATGTATCAAACTTCATTAGTGCAGTTCCTTGAACGATTTGATGCGTCTATGTTTAATTCATCAAAAACGCATATAACCCAAAAACGCATAAAACGAATTATAAATTATTTAACATTTGAAATATATCGCTACAAATCTAGAGGGTTATATGAAAAGGACAAGTTTTTATTTGTGCTTTTGATGGCGCTCAGTATTGATCGACAGCTAGAATTAATTACATTTGATGAGTTTCAGGTATTTATAAAAGGTGGTGCTGCTTTAAATCTTAATGACTGTCCTCCTGTTCCGTTCCGGTGGACCACGGATGAAACGTGGTTGAATTTAGTACAGCTGACAAATTTAACTCCATTTGTCAACATATTAAGCAAAGTTAGTGGCAATGAACGATCTTGGTTTACGTGGTATAAAAAAGATGCCCCTGAAAATGAAATTATTCCGGATGGATATAATTCATTAGATCCATTTCGAAAAATGTTGCTTATTCGTTCGTGGTGTATGGATCGAACTATTTCACAGTGCCGAAAATATATTGCTAATTCATTGGGAGATCGGTTTGCAGAACCAGTAGTCCTAAACTTTGAAGAGTTATTGTTGGAAAGCCGTGAACTTATGCCAATGATTTGTTTCTTATCTCTTGGCTCTGATCCATCATCAAATATTGAACTACTCGCAAAAAAAAATGAACTTAAGTGTCATCCTATTTCTATGGGCCAAGGTCAAGAAATTCATGCTCGAAAGCTGATATTATCTTGCCTAGAAGACGGAGGATGGGTGTTATTACAAAATTGTCACCTAGGATTAGAATACATGGTAGAGCTTACAATTCAAATATTAGAGCTTGAGCGTCAGGGAAAAGAAGCATCCGTTAATCCAAATTTTCGAATATGGATCACAACAGAGCCGCACCCTAAGTTTCCAATAACTTTGCTTCAAATGTGTTTAAAATATACTAATGAACCACCTGCTGGAATACGTGCTGGACTAAAAAGAACTTATACCAATTTATCCCAAGATTTCTTGGACTACTCGCAATCTCCTTTTTACTTGCCTTTGGTTTATTCAATATCATTCCTTCATACAGTAGTGCAAGAAAGGCGAAAGTTTGGACCCTTAGGTTGGAATATACCTTATGAATTCAATTCCTCTGACTGGTATGCAAGTTGTTTATTTGTACAAAATCATTTAGATGACATAGAGCAAGGAAAGGGGATAAGCTGGGTGACTGTGCGATACATGCTTGGGGAAGTCCAATATGGTGGCCGCGTTACTGATGATTATGACAAACGTTTACTTAATACATTTACAAGAGTATGGTTTCACGATGCCATTTTCGAAGAGAGTTTTCAATTCTTTAAAGGATATAAAGTCTACAGCTACAAGGAGCAGGAAGCTTATTTGACAGCCATTGATGACATGGTAAATGTAGACCCCCCTCAAGTGTATGGATTCCATTCTAATGCCGAAATTACTTATCAAACAAATACCATGAGAAATATTTTGGATGAAATTATGGGCATTCAACCTAAAGGTACGTATATTTATTTAACCATACTAATTAATATTTACTATTCTTATATATGAAGAATCGTCCTCCGGGACTGGGGAATCGCGAGAGGACCGAGTTGCCCGCCAAGTAAAGGAAATGCTAAGCAAAACACCTTTGGCTTTTGATTTATTCGATGTAAAACAGCATCTTATTGCAATGGGAGCCACAAGCTCGATGAATATTTTTCTTCGACAAGAAATTGACAGAATGCAGAGAGTAAGTAAAAATAAATCCAAATAAAAATCCAACCAGAAACACCAATGGGGGTAAAAAACGCATATTTGAAAATAAACCTACATTATTGAAAAGTTATTCGGAAGTTGATAAAGTGAATAATAATAATAATCAGCTAGAATTTGTCATATTCTAAGGATGACCTTTTCTCGAAGTTTTCTAGACACTAAAAAAAATTGTATAAAAGTTCATCAATCAAATTTGATTATTTATTCTGAACGGGTAAAGTGCAATGAAACCAAATATGCAGCTTCACTATGCAAGCTCATCTTCTGCATTATTTTTAGCTCCCGGCGAGCTCCAAGAATTGGATACACCGCAGCCGACATATAAACAGGGACACTTTAGTTGCTAATTGGATTTAGATTTAATTCAATAAAACTGTTGCCCTTTTTATTTTTATACCCATTACTCGTAGAGTAAAAGGTTATACTAGGTTCGTTGAAAAGTATGTAACAAGCCTTCTTTCTGCTTGTTTCCGATCATATTATATAAAGTATATATACTTACGCAGTTACTATTTTCTTGAGTCAAATAAATGATCCGTCTGTAACGAAGACAAAGATCAACGCTGAAGCCAAGTATAAATTAAAACACGAACGATTTCGGTGAGCGTCTTTATTTCAAAACTGTCAGCTTAAGACTGAATGTACAGAGTTTTGATCGGGTCGAAGTGAGTCGCGAGAAACGGAAATGTGTTTGTCAGCATTTTTATTTATTTGTGTTTAAGTGCATGCAAAAAGAATGATGAAGTTATACAACAATCATGCGCTTTACTTTTTTGTGGATTCAAGTTTCGTTACGTTATGTTGTGTATTTATGCACGCGCAAGATTGTATGCGCGTTGTTTTTGTTAGGTTTAAGTTTATGTAAGCGTAATATGAAAAGCATATTATGCTACTTCCCTCCCCTTAAAAGGAAGCTTATGCTTCTATTGGGGTTGACGCATATAATCTTGGTAATGCAGTTGGGTTTGTATCCTGTGTTTCCATAATTGTTTTTGTTGTTTTTAGTTTTAAGTAGATACAAACTATACAAAATGTGAGGCTAATGAGTGATATAATAATAGAGACTGTAATATTATTATTTGATATTAGTTTTACAATGTCCTTATGTTCTATTGGTTTTATTTTTATTAGTTCAATGGGTGTGTACAATGGGGTTAGATTTATTTCGGGATTTAGCTGGTTTTCGTTTAATGTTATCTTTCCTATTTTAATTTTACATTGTTTTATTGTTATTATTTTATTGCCGTTAATTGTTACATTTTTATTTATTTCTTGGCAATCTTGTTCTATAATAGTATTCTTTATGTTCCAAGTAAGGATATTGTTTGGTTCAACGTATTTAATTATCTGGTTAACTGTTGTGGGGACAAAATTGCAAATTGGTTTAGTTTTTTTTTTATAATGTTCTTAATACATTCGTTACTTATTTCCTTTACTATTTTGATTATAAATTTTGCCATGTTCTTCAAAATAAGTATCTTTTTCGTTGTGATCGAGTTGGAACCCGTTATTATCTGGGTAAGGTATTATGTTAATTGTGTGGACAGTTTTTTGCTTAATGGGTTTATGTGCTATGATAAGTATTTGGTTAGTACTAATCCAGGTTGATGTTTTAATTTGTAAGATGTTACTGTTGTCAACGCACTCTAGTCTGTCGTAATTGAGTAATTTGGGATTAAATAGTCCTAGTCGTGAAAGTTGCATTCCCATTGCAATGTCTTCTATATACTCGGTAAATTGGATAAGTTCGTATATTAACTGTTCTCTGTTACTATGTTCGTCTAAGAATTCTTTTGTTCTTTGTATGTTTCTGTTAATGAGTTGAATTATGTCATTTATTTCATGTAGATTTATTGAACTTGTTGCTACTGATTCTAATTGTTTTTCAATCTTTGTTCGGTCATTGTTATCTAATGTTCCAAATAAATATTTAAACGCTGATCCTACTATGTTGATTAGTCCTCGTTTCTGTCTATTTGTCTGGTGTAAAGTTATTCCGCTAAGTTCTCTTCGCATTTTATTGTACAAAAGGTCAATTTGGGGAATATTAGTGTAGTTAGTTATCTTATTGTTAAAATAGTGGGTTGGGTTAGGTTATCTATATCGGAAAGGTTTACGCGAAGACAATGATTTTCGTATTCTGAAGGGATTTGAATCGATTTATCGGAAAATAGGAGGTATCCGTGGTTAGTGTCAATGTTGTTGATTTGAAGTTGTTGGGTTTGGCATAATTTTGTAGGCGTGAGGAGGAGTATTATGATGAATATGAAGTTATGAAGTTCATTAATTTTTTTCTGTTTTTTAAATTGAGTTTTGTAGTAATGTGTCTCTCTATTCCTATTGGTGATTTTATAATGGTCTTCGTCAGTTTGTTCGACGTTTTTTGTTAATTTAAAAGGGTTTTCTAATTTTCCTTTTTGTAATGGTCCCTTTCTGTATCTAGTGTCAACATTGTATTCGGTTCTGTTTTTGTTTATTTCGTTAATTCTAACTTCCTTATCGTGTTGTGTATCTAGAATTGGTTGTCCGGCATAAATGAATATGTGAGCGGGGGTTTGTCCAGTAGTGTCGTGTTTGGTATTGTGATTGTAGATGTAAAGGATTGTTTCTATTTTACTTAACTTGGTCTCGTTGTCGTCAGAATTTTTTATGATGCGAATTTTTTCATTTATAGTCTTGTGCAGCCTCTCTATGTCAGCGACACCTGTTTTCGTAGTGTTAAGTTGTAATTCTACGTCTTCGGTTTCGAGCCAACGTTTAAGGGCTAGGCTGGAGAATGCGCCGTCTCTGTCTGCTTTAAGAAGTCTAGGTTTCCCCAACTGATTAAATATACGCATTAAGGCGTTTTTACATTCTATCCAGTCCTTTGTCTTTATCTGTTCGAGAGTGGCGAATTTGGAGTAAACATCGATACAGCTCAAATAGTGATTCCCTTCAGAAGAATAGATATCTATTACAAACTTATCGCGGCAATGTTCGGGTTTAGGGGTAATTTTCATTGGCATTTTTGTATTGCGGTGTTCTGTCTTGGCTAAGTTACAAACTTGACATTCATTGATTATATTTTGAATAAGGAGTTGGCTATTAGGAAAGTAGTAAGTTTCGCTAAAGAGTTTTACAGTTTTTTGAATTCCTGGGTGTAATAACTTTTCGTGTGTGTTTAGGATTAATTCTTTGAATTTTGCATAAGTAGGAATGTTTTTTAATAAGACGAGACTTCGGAAAATCTTTGTACACTTTGGATTCATGGTTTCTGTGTACGCGCTTTGAATCACTTCAAAGTCTGCATCGCTTTCGATGTAAAGGGCGCTATTCTTCGAACAAAAGTGGTTGAGTAAGTATTGTTTGGCTGTTTCGAAGGTCATTTCTGCATAGGAGATACGTACTATTTGTTTCTTGAAATAGGTTTCATATTCTGTATTATTATTGGGACCTTTCGAAAAAATGATTTGTCTTTTATGGTAGTTTATTGCTTTTTCAGATAGGCCTATTAGTCCGCTACTATCTTCTTCCGCGCTATGTTGCGTGGATTCTCCGAAAAATGTCTGTTCTATTTTGGTTCTAGACAGTGCGTCCGCGACATGGTTTTCTTTCCCTTTGATGTACCTTATGTCGAAGTCGTACTCCGATAGTCTAATCTTCCATCTAGTCAACTTGGAGTTAGGCTCTTTTAGTTTGTGTAGCCAGCACAATGGTTGATGGTCAGAAGCTACTTCGAAGTGTCGCCCTAATAGATAATGTCTGAAAGTTTTGGTTGCCCAAACTATTGCTAATAATTCCTTTTCTATAGCGCTGTAATTGATTTCATGTTCATTTAGTGTTCTGCTGATGTAACTAATAGGGTGTCCGTCTTGTGATAAAACAGCTCCTAAAGCTACATTGCTGGCATCTGTTGTCAATGTAAATTTCCTCTCGAAATTCGGTATTTTTAGGATCGGATCTTCAGAGATTAATAATTTTAACTTTTGGAATGCTTCTAAGTATTCTAAACTGTTTATATCTATTGTTGCTCCTTTCTTTAGGCACTTGGTCAGGGGTTTGGCAATGTCTGAAAAGTTAGGTATAAATTTCCTAAAATATCCTGTAAGTCCTAAAAAGGCTTTAATTTCTTTAGTTTTTCTTGGTAACGGATATTTAACTATAGCTTTGATTTTATCCGGGTTTGGTTTAATCCCGTCTTTAGTAATAACATGTCCTAAGAAAGTTGTCTCTTGTTTTAAGAACTCGCATTTATCTAGTTGTAATTTTAAGTTTGCCTGTGATAATTTTTCGAAAACAGCTTGTAAGGCTTGAAGATGTTCTTCTAAAGATGTGGAGAAAACTATGATGTCGTCTAAGTATACTAGACAGCATTTATTTAAAAGTGGACGGAGTAAATTGTTCATGCATCTTTGAAATGTAGCGGGGGCATTTTTAAGCCCAAATGGCATTCGTGTGTGTCCATATTTTGTAGAGAAGGCAGTTTTGGCTATTGACTCTGAGTCCATTTCTATTTGATGAAAGCCCTTTGCAAGATCTATTGTTGTGAAATAATTTGACTTCCCTAGTTTCCCTAATATTTCATCTATGTTTGGTATGGGGTATCTGTCGTTTATTGTTATTTCGTTCAATTTCCTATAATCTATTACGATACGAAGCTTCTGCTGTCCAGAAGCATCTAGTTTTTTAGGTACGACCCAAATGGGGCTACAGTATGGTGAATTACTTTCTCGGATAATGTCCTGTTCTAACATATCCTGGATCTGTTTTTCTACTTCCTTTTCATATGTCTGTTGGTAACTATAAACTTTAGAGTAGACGGGGATATTGTGTGTGGTGTTAATAATATGTTTTTCTTGGTTTGTGAACGTGAGCTTGTCACCTTCGCGAAATTGGATGTCTTGGTATTTTGTCAGTAGATTGGTTAGTTTCAGTTTTTCTTCTACGTTAAGGTGTTCTAATCGGAACAAGTTCTCCTGAAGTGTGGAGGTTTCT